CACTCCCAGCTCTTGAGGTTTATTTCACAATCACTCCTCTCCAAGTAGCCTTCAGAGCACCCTTAAGTCAAAGTGAAGCCTGTTTTTCTTTGGTTATGCCAGACTTCCATTCCAGAGCACGGTACTGGTCGCTGGTAGCTGGGAGTGCATTTGTAGAAATAATTTGTTGGGACTGTGTCCTACAAACTTCACTTATTTTTTCTTAAAGCCAATTATATTTATGATAAGTAGATTTCATATACAAAGGCAATTTGAGTAGATAATAAATTTGACTGAAAAGTTTCATTTATTAATGCATTCATATTTCCTGTTAATAAAATAATTCCAAACATATAAAATGCCTTCTGGAAGACATCTACTTTCTTTTTTGATATTGTTATATTTTCAATCAGGTTCAATTTATTTTAACACTATTTTTTGTTGTTGTTGTTGTTCATCATGGTGTTATTATTAAAACAAAAATGAGACTTTCACTGTCTTTGTTTGTATTTTCTTTTTACCAGCTCAACAAAAAAATAGAGTCACCTAGACACAGGGAGCTTTAACTGAAGAATTGCCCCCAATAGAGTGACCCCGTGGGCATCTCTGTAGGGGCATTTTATAGATCAGTGCTTGATGTGGGAAGGTCAAGCCCACTGGAAATGGTGCCACTTCTGGATCGGTGTTACTGGGTTGTATAAGAAGGCAAGCTGAACAAGCCACGGGCAGCAAAGTCATTCCTTTACCATCTCTGTGGCAGTACCTGCCTCCAGATTCCTTTCCTCACCCCCCTCTATGACAGACTGTGTAAACCAAATCAACCCTTTCCTCCGCAAATGGGCTTTGATTGTGGGGTTAATCACAGTAACAGAAAACAAACTAGAATAGTCAGAAACTTCGATTTGCTCGGTGCTTACTTTTCAGAGTTATTTTTCTCATTTCTGAAACTAAGATCATTTTATTTCACTTTTTCAGCTGTTCTTAACAGATGCACAAGTCTCCTGAGTTTAATTAACATCCTCAACTACTTAGTGATCACAGGACCACAAATGCCATTTGAAAATGTAAAACCTTTATCTGTTAACTTCCTCTTACTCTCATGCATAGCCTGGCTCTAAAATCACAGTCGTGGTATTTATTGACTGTCTTTGTAAAATTGTGGGTAATACATTTTTCACATCTCATTGAGAAGAAAAGAAACCGAATCCTTCCAGGTTCTCCATTATTAGTTCTTTCTGTGGAAATTATTATTATTATTATTATTATTATTATTATTATTATTATTATTGGATGATGTGTTTGAGACTAATCTTACAATGGAAAAACAAAATCCTATGTTTGAGGTAGAGATTTAAGTCCTACATCTGATGGTTGGCTCACACTACCTCCCAACAGTCTGGCTCACATTGAAGATTGCACACATTTAAGGTTGTACAATAATTTTCTGGCATGGCAGGGTGTCATTATTTTCAGTAACAAATTTTTAGTTTTTAGTTTGCTACCGTGGATCACAGTAAATAGTGACTGGGTAACCCCCTGTGTTCTCTTGGATTCTGCCAGTTCTAAGGAGCACTCTACAAACTCCAGCTTTACCCTGGGCTCACTTGTAGGGAATGTCAGCTGGGTTTGATCAGCAGCCTGAGTGCTGTCACCTCTTCACCTCTTTGCCTGTCCATCACCGTGTCTGCCCCGCCTTCTCTGTAGGAGAGTTGCTGAATGATGCCTGCGAATAAATCTGATGGGAAACTCCTTATTTCTAATTTCAAATTAAACCAAATTTTCAGTTTTTTTTAAGCAAAGAGAGCCTTTTAAACGTCAAGTGGTTGCTCATATTATCAGAAATCTCTTAAATATAGAAAACCTATCAGCTCATGTAGTTTATCCAAAGTGTCCCACATAATGCCCAGTCTCAGAGGATACGTTCTGATCTTTTATCAATGGAATACTCTTACATACTAGGGATGATGGAGATCATCTTGCTCTCTATGTTCTTGGTGTTATCTAAGACTCTGGCCACACTGCATAAAGTCAGATGTATACTTTTACCATGGAATATGGATTATTTCATCTTAATTTGAGGAGACATAGCCAATAGGAGTCTCTTAATAACAATTCATCTTTTATTGGACCCATAATTTTCTATCTTTGAATCCAAAATAAACTCTCCCTCACTCCCCACCCCCAGCCCCTGCCCCAGCGACTTTGAACAAGAGATCATTTCCTTGCTTCTATCTTTGGCTGCATGTGTAGGAGTCTCTCTGTCTGGAAGGCATTTCCCTTCCTTCACCGTCCATTTGTGTGAACATGCTACCCTTCCTTCAAATCTCTTATCAGCTGCCATTTGGGAAGCTTTCTCTAAACATCTCACTGCATACTCTCTCCCTCTCTGTCTCGTCCCCCCCACTCTCTCTCTCTCTCACACACACAGCACAAGTTTTTTTTTTTAAAAAAAAAACAAAAAACAATGAGTCTCTCTCCCCTCACCCGCTATTGCTGCAGTTGCAGAGGGAGCCCCAGGAAGAAGGCCTCACAGACCTCACTTAACCTGTTTACAGACATTACAGAATGCCCTAAGTTATCTTCCGAATTCTTCCTCATTGCTTTCAAAGTTCATTTAAAACTAAGCCAACATCTTTATTTTGAAAATAAACCATGAGGCAGAATCAATTTATAAAATTATTCAAGATATATTTTATTATCTCAATTGCTTTCTTCTTTTCTACTTTTCTGCTAGCATAAAAGTTTAACTTTCTGTTAAGATGGTCCAAATTATTTAACCGAATGTGCCAGATGCTTAAAAGAGAGGAAGCGTAGTTTTTTAATTCCAAACCAGAAATATTGGGAAATCTGTGCATGAAAGAACTCTTGTGAGCATTCTTAGAATTGACCCCACCCCCCATTCCCCCACTACAAAATAACAGAAAAAAAATCTTGGGTGGAGTTGAGAACTCTTTTCAAATGTAAAACAATGACTGGAAATCCTGAAAATGTATCCTCCTTCTTCCACTGGGAAAAACACTTTAAAGGTTTTTTTCCCCCTAAGTATTGTTTAGCAAGAGATTTACTAAGAAGTTTCTATTTTTGACAGAAAGTTCAGTTTTAACTGCCTGAAATATAATGCCATCTGTGTTTACTTTTCCCTTCTAAAACACAATTCCTTGTTCCCTCTGTATGGAACAAGCACATGGTTCTAATAACCCAGATAAATGTGTTGACCAGAAAGGTGTGTAAATTGCATTTTTTGAATTTAAGTCACAGAAAGCATATCTTCAAATTAAACATTTTAAGATATTTTGGCTAATAGTTGAGTCCATGATATTTATTTCCATCTAAGAGGGAGCGAGGAGCCGGGACACTGGGCACGAGGCGCATTGGAAAGCTGGAAAGCAAGCGGTGACTGCACAGATGATGGCCTCCGGGCCGCTGGACCAAGTCCCAGACTCGCTCACTCCTGCCCTCACTGTTTCCACTCACATATCTACATGGCATTCAGAAATCATTATAAAACACATGATTTAATAATCAGAAGCTTTATATTATCTTATATTCTGTGACGTGATCTGAGTTACCCCATTTCTGTAAAAAAAATGATTATTGATGGACAATTAATTGTTTTCCCAATAAATCTTCCATAAGAAAAATTCATAAATTTGACTTAGTTCATATTTCATTGAATATTTGATTTCTACTGAAAATTAGTAAGTCATTTTTAAAATTTCATCCTGGAATTTCTTCCATAGCTAACAGTCATCAATAATATCCCAAACCAGATGTTTGGGGAATGAGGTCTATAGTCTAACAGATCTCTAATATCAGGTCTAGCACGAATTCTAGAGAGTTTCTGTGTCAGGTTTCCCTTTTGAGAAACAGAGGATTTTGTTGTCAGCATCTCAGTGGAAATGTTCCCGGAAAAGCTGGACCTGCTGAACCTAGCCTAACACTTCCTGCTTCCTCTTGAGCCTTTGGAAGGCAGAAGCTAAGCAGAACTACTTGAGAATGGAAGAGTTCCTCCCACTCTATCCATGTGCACGTAAAAAAGAAGAGCATCAAAGGATAGAACATGGACCAGCTCATAGCTGAGAGCGCACCAGAGGAGAGTCTCACTGCAGGAAGGGCTTTTTCACTGCCAACTTTATGGGCAGAGGAATTGCAAGCCCACACTCATGAAATAATTTCCTAGCTTTTCAGTCCAAAGGCAGGCTTTACCTTCATTGTCCTCTGCTCAGTAGCAGCAGTAAAATATATTTTGAATCCAATACAGGAAGCTACTTACCATCTGTACTTCTCATGTGTGTGAGGTATGATTACATATAATTCATGCCTGCCTTCATTTAGGTTCTAAGTCTGTTCCTCTCAGTTGTCTTATATACATTATGAAAATAACTAAGATTTCCTATTACAATTGTTTCCTTTATTCACAACCTGTCCTTTTCCTTAACTAGTGGATGTATTAGACAGTTAGGGCACAGTTGGTAAAAGAAGCTGGCCATCATTAAACAACAAATGTTAGTTTATACATCCTTCAACACAGGACACAAAACCATATCATGAAAGTGTTATCAATAATAAGACTACTTAGCGCATTACTATAATACGCATGAGAAACAGTGAAAGGATCCTTTTCAAACTCCCCACTAATAGAGGTAATTTTTATTAATTTACACATCTGTCATCTAAGAAGTTACACAAGTTATTAATGCATGTTTCCCCTCTAGTAAAGATTTTAAATCAATAATAAATGTGTGTGTGTGTGTGTGTGTGTGTGTGTGTGTGTCTGTGTGTGTGTGATGAAATCACACATAGAAGCTGAGACTAGACTCGAACTAAAAATATTACACAGGCTAGCTTCAAACCCATGGCAATTCTTCTGGGTCAGCCTCCCCAGTGTTGGAATTACAGGCGTGAGACACCATCTTCTGCACCAACCTTCATTCTCCAGTCTGCACCTGTCACTTAGTGTTACTTGAAAGTGTAACTTGACCAAAGGAATAAGAACACTGTCCATTTGGAGCACTACTCACGAAAGAATGTTTCCAATGTAGGCATAGTAGGAGCAACAGTAGGGGGTGCTTCCATCGCAGCAGTAAGACCTGCAGTCTTTCCCGCACTGAGCAAGGCAATTCTCTGCAAAGGAAAAAGGAGAGCAGTTGAGTTGTGAAGTCACAGCTTAAAGAAAATTGATTCTCTTCGTGTCTGAGTCAGTCAACCAGTTTTTAGCACATCGATGTTCATTTTCACACTCTAAATTCCAAAACGTTTCCAAGGGTCTCAGTTGGCTTTTCTCCCCAGTAGACTTAGCTGGTAGAAATAAAGCCTTCCTCCCAAGTCCTTGCTCTGAACACTCAAACTGTAGTTGACTTTGGGTGAACAAGATTAAGATGAAAAAAATGCATCAACCCATCAGTCAATAAAGTTGTCATTAGAGTTCTTATCATAGTTTCTAAACAACACAGTTTCATGATTTTAGAGTGTTGATTCTCTATTAACTTCAATTAATAGAAATTATCATTGACATAGGTAATACCAATAGTAACCATTGAAAACTAATATGTACATTTGCCGTGGTAATTCATTTATGTGCTTTCTTTTATGTTGTCATTTTTTACCTCTGCAATTATAGTTCCTATACATACAATTACATAGTTTAGTATGTATGCTGTTGGTCCATTAGACTTGGAAGATAATGAGTTGAGTACCAAAGATGTTCATATAAATAACTTGTAAATTGACAGCTTACTTAATGCCATATTGAAGAATCAATAAGCTATAAAACAGTATAATGTTAAGCAGGAAATTTCTGATTAAAAAGATATGTTGGACCTAATATGACCACATTGCTTTTTCCTTAAGTACTTTTCAACAAGAAAATTTATATGAAAATATTTAACTGAACTTCAACAGCATTTTTTGTTCTACCTAAGTGATTTACTTTTCTGTATAGAGTTACCATTAAGCTTTGACAATTATGAGGATTAATTATGGTGGCTGGGTTTCAGGTACACATCTCAAACACTATAGTTCCAGTTTGCAGTCTATGCTCAAGAATTTCAAAATAAGCCATTTTCAACAGAACTACTGAAAGCAATGTCAATTGTATGATAAAAATTAAATGAAGTTTTTGGTTTCCTGTTAAGGTTAAAATAGTGAAAATACGAGGTATTATACTTATGGTCACATGTTCTTTTATTCCTGTCTCTTACAAAGAAAACTTTAGCGAGTTTTTATGTCAGGTTTTTCTAAGATGTGATCCAAATGGAGTACATCCTGTCTGACTTCGTTAATTAATGTGGGTTTTGTGGAGCAAGTGAGAAAGGTCATATTTTCTTCTTATTCGTTTTATTTCTATATCACAGATCAACAAAATGAACTTTAAAGGTTTCCACTTGACTGGAGAGGGAAATTATTTTTGCTATTCTACTTAAATCCACACAAGAAACATAATAAATCATATAGCTCCAAGAAAGGAGCTTCTGCATTAACAATAGTGTTTTTAAACAAAGTGCACCATTTCTTTTAAGTTTCTTTGGTTTGTTTTATAGATATACCTTGGTAATGTAGCCCAGGCTTGACTGGCTACATGAATGCCGAAGATGATATTTACCTCCAGATGTCTTGACTTCCCCTTCTGAACACTGAGATTAGATTCGAGGTATATGCCACCTTTCCCATCTAGGACATCATAATTTTTTAGCCTTCTTATTCTGCAGTGTTCTTACTGAATTTCTCCGCTCAATTTTTTGTTGTTGTTGAATTGATTCAAGTATTTAGCCAAGTCAGCCACGTTCAGAGTTTAGGGGAGATGTGCCACTGTTTTTGTCTTTTCCAACTACTCAGATCATGAAGTCATGGTGTTGGGGGCAGTGATTTACAATTCAGCTGCCCTGGAATTAAACGATTCAACTGTCCCCCATTGCAGTAGGTGCTGCTGTCATAAGGACACAGTGTTATCAAAATACAGTGAGCCAACCTAACAGGAAGCCAAGCCCCGGATTTTCTGGCTAAGAAACTGGATAATTTCTGCAGCAAACATCCATGTCATGTCACACACTGTTCAGTATTTTTATGGAATTTTCTAGCCCCGTTGTCTACTTCCCAGAATTAAACTATGGAAAAGGGTAAATTTAGTAGCTTGATGAATGGTCTAACAATCATAGCCCTTGCTAACCAAGGCTTCAATCAGACTTCAAAGCTTATTGTATTATCATAGTTTCTTTTTCTCATATTCTGAGGATAATATGATGAAGATTATAGTTTGGACTACACGAGGCTGACTCTCTCTTCTTTGTGAAATAATCACAGAGCAGTCCAGTTGCCCTCTGAAGACAAAATAACATCATTCCTAATATCCAAATATCCCTGACAGTCAGTTCAAACTGTCTTCAAGCATTTTTTAATGAAAGGTGAGATCTGGAAAGCTCCCCCAGAATATTTGCCCACCCCACCTTCAGGAATGTGTAGTCCTGGATAGCACTATCTGGCTAGAAGTCTTTGCTTAGAAATGGCTTCTGTGAGACTAAGACAGGAAGGAAAAGGAGGGGCAGAAAGCACAGGCTGAGGCCCGGAAGGTAAAACCTTGATAGAATCCTGTCTTTGTAACCTGCAGTGGGGGTTGGACAATAACATAAACACTTCATCAGGATCTTTCCAAAAGCTCCTCCACGAAAAAGCGCGATGTGTTAAACGTAGAAGAATTTACTCTCATTTGCCTAACCAAATAGACCATTACTGTATTATGCTTGCTTTGTGCAATGTAACTAGGCCATAGTCAATGTATCCACTTAGGTTTTGTGTGTGCATATGTGTGTGTGTTGTGAAACCAGCAAATCACTTATTGAATATTCAGGCATCTAACCACATGTGTCCAGTTGCATCTCTTAATTCCAACCTAACTGAGCTACCCATTGTTGGGATTTCACATTTTACCATGTAGCGTTTCCTAAGTGCACATTGACTGAGCCCTTAGCCTTGCCTGTGGGCGAGGCTATTCTGCTGAATAAAATAAGCACGAGCAGAAAGGACTTATTTTTTTGAAATAGCAATATGGCTGCCTTTTTTGAAAGTGCTAGTACAAGATTGTACCTGTTCTGTGATACACGCTTTTCCACATTAAACAGACCTAGGAGCTCACCTTATCCCCTCCGAAAACTCAAAGCATGGCCTCTGCACTAGAATCAAATGAATATGGCAGCTTTAAAACAGCCTCTGGCTTCTGAGGTTCAGGTTCCACCAAAGAACTCATCAATTCAGCATCCCTTACATGAGATAATAGGACAGATTAGTGTTGGCTTGCAAGTACTCTGTAGCTTATTAAGTAGGAACTTAGGAGAGAGCATTTTAACGTGGAAACTCCCGATAGAAACCACCCGGCTAACTGCTGTCCAGTGACATCGGTTCCCTGAACTCTGGAGGAGCCGTGGGTAGTTCCGAGAACTGGAGAAGGGCTACAGCAGGTGTGGAGCCTGCCACAGGGGAGCGACTCAGAACACACAAACTGTGGCTCCGTGAACTGACTGAGTCAAGGCAACAAGGCCATTATAGCTCCATTTGCTTCTTGTTATTTTCTTGTGTTTGTGTCTCTTGGATAAGCTGAAGAAGTGGGAAGAATCGAATCATTGCTTTCAAGAAGCTAGGGGAGAGACACTGATGTAAAATTCAGGAATGCAGTTGATTCTTCGTGCCGCCCAACGGGGAAGCTATATACAATCTAAACAGCAGGAACACTGCCATCACTAGAATTGGAACTATTTTCATCAAGAGGCACTCTCCCTACTTGTAGTAATTTCTTCTATTAGAAGGTCAGCATTTCCCCTGTAGAATTTTTAATGTGATAACTCTTAGACAGTAATTCGCTGTTCACAATCTGCTGATTTTTGAAATGGAGTCTCATATATCCCCGGGGTCAGGGAGACAGGTCTCAGACCAAACATGTAGTTGACAACGCCCTGGAACTTCTGATTCTTCTGCCTCCACCTCCCCAAAGCTGGGATATCTGACATGGGCCACCACAGTTGATTAATGCCCTACAAAGGCCTGTACTCAATCCCAGGCCCTAGTTTGCCTTATAATAGATTAAATTTTTCTACAAGTAAGGACTCTTTTCTGGCAGAACTGGGGTGGGTGTGGGATTAGGTGGGGGTGAGGAATTCAATTATTTTGCTGCAATGCTGCAATTCGATTATTTGGCTGCAGCTCACAAGGTTGAAGAACATTGCTTTAGTTGCAATGTCTTGGTAGGTATGGAGACGTAAACAGTTCTGCAGATTCATCATTCAGCCTGTGATTCATTGTCATAGAAAGTTAGAAACACAAGATGTTTTAAATTTATACTCTGTGAAAAGGTAGTTGCAAGGAGTGTGTTTGTAATTAGCTTTATACTTGAGTAAGCAGCAAAAGGCCACATAAGGCTCCCCATCAATCACAGAACAAGAATACCACTCTGCTTCATTAATTATTAGCAACTGCCACTAAGAATAATTATAAGGAGGGAAATGAGGGGCTTTTCACAAACAGGTGCCTAATCACACCAAACAAGAAAGAAACTCTGGCGAAATAGTTCAGAGCATCTGATTGCTCAGACTCAAGGCTAGACCCAAGTCCTTGTGGGTCTTCTACAGAATACGGGAAAGTGTCTAAAGTATCTAAGAGGAAAAACTGGATTATTCAGAACGGGGGCAGCCTGACGGGAAATGCAAAAGTCACTAATGCGTTTGTTTTTAATAACTTCGCCTTTAAATTTCAAGTATTTTAAAAAGTCTCTGCAGGCCCTCCACCAGGGTCCACTTAAGATGTGTTTTTATACTAGTCAGATTAAATCCCCTTAAAAGAGAGTTTCTGAGTTGTTTAGCAAACAGAAAAGAAAGCAGAAGAGTAATGTTAAAGGAGAAAAGGGGTTTCCAGCATGAGGGCAGCCGGAGTTGCCTCCTAGGGGGATCTCCACTCTTACTTTACTGCTATGGCCCCAAGCCCCAGCACCCTCTCTCCCTGTTCCGCTACCACTGACCTGCGTAGACAAAGAGCAGAACCAACTTCGGAAGCAAGACCCCAGGACGCCGGGGCAGCCTCAGCACGTCCATCCAAGCCGGTGGCACCAAGCTGCTCTGTAGGACAGACGGGTAGACCTGAGAGAGGGTGGAGTAAAGGGACGGCCAGGAAACCCTGCAGCCAGGAAACCCTGCAGAGGAGGATACTGGGTTGTTAGGTGGACAGGGCTGTGCTGCCGAGAGCAGGGTCCAGAGCAGGCCTGGCCATGACCCTAACCAGAGCCCTGAAGAAGCCTGTTAGCTGCGGGGAGCTGGCGCCAGTGGTCCTTGGCTGGCAGAGCGGCAGCTGGGGTTTTGTCCCGCCCAAAGGTGCTGGCTCTGGCAAGCAAAAGGCAGCTTCTCTGGCGTCCTTGACCACCCAGGCTCACATTTCATCTGTGAGGGTGGCACCAAAGTGGGATGGGGGTGGGGAGGTGACAGACTCCTCCCCATTTCGCCGAGTTTTCCTCTGTTGAATGACAGGGTACTTGGCTCAGGAAGGAACTTCTGAGTTGTTTGGCTTTTGTTACCCCTGGGAACTACTGTCTCCTTTGGATTAAAACACTTCCCATCTGCCTTGAAGCAATGGATGGAAACTTTAGCTTCCCGTCTAAACAAATGAATATGGGAATTTTTGGATTTAGAAGGAGATTGCACAAAGGGTGATAGGGATGGTTTCCCGGAATGGGGAACTAGAAGGACTGCGCCCAATCTCCACCGAAAGCTGGCACAGTGTAGATTAATCAAATACTTGAAGCTGTCAACTAATTCAGGGAAAACCAATGAAACAAGAGGTGTCTGGCCACCACCATTGCTCTGCAGTTCCTGTCTGATGCGATTAGATAGGAGAAACAACAAAAAATTTTAAAACTTGGAAACAAAATTATTAGCAAATCAGGTGTTCATGGGTGGGGGGATTCAATCAGTGCTGAAGCTCTTTCCTAAAAAACCAAAAACATCAATAGTGTTTAACACTATGCAGAAAGGGAATCAGAAGAAAATCAAAGGAAATACTTCTCTTCATTAAGAAAAGCAGCAAAATGAAGTGTTCGCCTCAAGTATTCCTCAAATTGAGGATGAAATAGATCTTAATATAATTGTCGACGTAAAGTTTTTCAGGTAAATTGGATTTCACAGCTTTTACCGAAAATGATTGTGTAAGAGCAACCAAACAACTAACAGAAAACCAGAGATACTTACAGACAACTTGCTACATATGGCAAGGTCATTTTTCTTCTCCTTTAAGCACTAAATTTATTGGAAGACATTACTTGTTAAGTGTGAAACCAAATAACTAAAATACTGTTTTTAAGAAGCAACATTCACTTCAAAAGTGAAATATGTCTGAGCCTTAATTTAGTCAATCTTCCTTGAAGAATTTTTACCTAAGAACGTGACTCAAAGATGACATTCTGAGACTCTACAGCATCTCTGACTAAGTCTAAAGTCTGAGGAAGACTCAACATTCCCTTCTCCCAAAGAACGCTCATCAATTCCACCCTCACCTCCAGCCAAGCACACTGATGTTTTAATGGCACAATTCATTCATTGTAATCTATATAATATTTTAATACATTTATTTTATTTAAGGGATGTGTGTATGTGTACATATGGAGGCCCAAGGACAACTTTCTCTTTTCCCACCATGTGCATCTCGGAGAACAAACTCAGTTTGTCCCGCCCCTCAGCGGGCACTTCTCTGCTGTGCTGTTCTGATTTTAACGTGTTTCTCTCTGACACTAGTCCCTTGCAGTCTTCACTAGAAGTAGGTCTCCTGCCCCAGAAATACTTGCCCCTACAGTTTCGTTTTTGTTTTCTTAAGCTACAGAATAAATCACATTCACTTACTGGAGTACACATCAACGGTTTTACTCTTATGATTGGAACCTGGAGAAGACCTCATACATAAAGAATTCAGTCTTTAAAGAAGAACACAGCCGAGCTGGGATGTAGCATTATAGCCTTGGGGTGGGAAGATGATTGCTCTGCAGATAAAGTCTGCAGGGTGAGGGCAGACACCTCGGCATGGAAGATGTGATCTCTCCTATCTCTGCATGTACACAGCTCTGGAAGAGACTGTTAGATTAGAGATCAGTGGACCCCAGCCCGATTTCAGGGGGTAAGAGGTAGGCCAGAGAACCTGCATCTTCAATATTCTCCCTATTGAAGAAAATGATGTGTCAGCACCATAGTGAGCGCCACCGGCTTAGAATATTCTGACACATCGCCACTGATGTCAGTAAGAAGGTGCAATGTTGCTTAGTTAGAGAAGTTTCTCCCAGACCCTGAGAACAGAGAGCCTTATATGGTTCAGAAGATTGATCAAGTCACCGTGCTAGCTAGTTCCCCACAGTCCAAGAGCTTCTATCTTGCAGTATTCAAGGTATCATTACCCTGTAGTATTCAAGACTGTTTATGTGTGAGAAATAAGATAATCTACAGGCAGAAATGTTTCTGAAAAGTTAAAAAAAAAGTAGCTTAAGATTTAAAAATAAAAATCCAAGGAAACTATTATAAAATGGTCACAGATGAAAAGTAATTTTCATTACTTGATCAAATGGATCAGATTTAATAATATAGAAATACTAAAACTCCAAAGACACACAACCCACTTCTGAGAGCTGTAAGCAAGCTAGAAGCAGTTTCAGAAGTGAAGAAGCCAACATCAAAGAAAGCTCTAATTCTAAGCTATAAAAACACTTTGACTTTTAGACTTTAAATGGGACGTTCCAACAGAGACTTATTTGAACAAATAGAATTTAACTTCATTTTTAGAAGTTTACTTAAAATAAGAAAAATATCAGTCAGATAGCAGAGTTTTATTTGCAATCTTGAGATGAGAGGGGGGAGAGGAAAGAGTGAGAGAGAGAGAGAGAGAGAGAGAGAGAGAGAGAGAGAGAGAGAGGAGATAGATAGGTTACAGTTTAAATAACCTAGTCTTAAATCATAATATATTACCATGTGTGTTCTCTCCCCCCTCCCCACAACTAGGTATTATGGGATTGAACCCAGAATGTCATTCATTTTAGTGGTCAACCACTGAGCTCCCTCTCAACCCTTCTCAAAATTTCTTGAAAGATGTATGGTTTCAGGAACTTTTTTACTGTTTCTTATTAAGCAGTAACAATCTACCCTTAGTAAGTGTCAAATGTCATTGAGTTCTGCTAGCAGGTCTAACGGCTGCAACACCACTACTACGGTCCTATAGCTTAAACCCACACTGCTTAAGATGAGAGTGCATCAGTATTATCGAAAGGCTGTGAAACGAGAGATTGGTGAATCCGAAGTTCGGATTACAAGGCAGAGGAAGACCTCATCATCTGCATTTCCCACACATTTCCTTCTGTAGTCCTGCTGTGTAAGTACCATACCAAGCCACCAGTTCAGAGAACTCTATCCTAGGGACTACTGCCCCCTGCATCATGAGATGAACTGTGTTTTTCAAAAACAATTATTTTTAATTGATCCACAATAACTGCACACATCTGGAGTATAGTGTGGGTATTTTGATCAAATTAAGATGATTAACATCCCTGTTCTTGTACGCATCTATCAATTTTTCGTGGTAACATACATTCTTTTCTGGCTGTTTTTGACTATATGATATTGTTGACTGTAGATGTCACCCTACTGAGTAGTAGAGTTCTAGAGTCTACTCCTGGTACCTAACTGGCTGATCTAATTGTTCTCTTCCTCCGTCTCTGTCCTCTTCAGTGTCTGAACCATATTTCCCTTGTGATCAGTTGTTTTAAATTCCCATAGGAGTAGAGAGAGTGCTGTCTGAATAGGTCTGACTTATTTCACTTGGCATAATACTCTCCAGGTCCGCTCTTGCTGCTGTGACTGATGGAATTTTTAGTGTGCCATCAAGCATAAATATCACACTTCCCTCACCCACTAGCCCACTGATGGACATGTTGGCTATTCTGAAGTATGCTACAATAAATACTGGAGTGTTACAGTCAGGAAAAAAACAGTTTTGAACTCATGATTCTGTTTCTGGCTGCATGTCTATTTTAGTGTGATGCTATGTCATTGTGTTTAGCTCTTGACAGCCATAAAAATTATACTCTAAATGTATTCATGTTTGTGTTTCAAAAAAGATTTATGAATAGCACAAAATTAAAACTAGGCTTTGAGATTTTATGTTTTTTTTCCCACTCAATATTGCCCCTTGAGCTTTGTTCAAAGAATTAAGAGTAAGAATTTGTGTTCAAATGGTGTATTTTGAAACAGTAATTTAGTTTCAAATTTTTATTTTAATCTTTATGAAAAATAAATTTAAAATTTACTTTTAAAGGTATGTGGGAGAAACTTTCTGCAACTCATTTTGTGTGATATTATGTTTAAAACATCACAATATTAGAAAAATGCTAATATTTCCTCTAGGCACAGGATGCAAGCAATTTTATGTATTTTTTTCAGACATACAATCCAAAATTTCTTTATATTTATAGAAGGCATCCCCAAATTTGTACTTCATAAAAGAAAGGTGGAAGACAAGCCCATAGCTTTATATGAATAGTTTCTTTTTGTTACTTTGTTTTGAATGTTTTTTTTTCTTGCAGCATAGACACTTGTACACACTCAGGATAACTATGAAAATTGCTTTTTGTAGGCTTATTTTTAAACCTTTAAAAGCATAGTATCAGTCAGAAAAATTTCAGGAGTAATACTTAAATACAGTCTCTTTTACCTAGATTTCCTATTTTTAACATTTTGTCCCATTTATTCATTTATCTTTTATTATTCTTTCTCTATACTTGTACACACACAGTTTCTGAACTGTTCAAAGAGAAGTCTGGCTATTGAGTTGAAAGGTAAATACATCCCTAGTTTGGTAAGCCTTGTCACATTTCTCTTTGGGAAGGGATGTTATATTTTGTTGCTACAATGAAAAGATTTCTTTTAAAAGGGTGTATAGTATCCTGTTGTGTACAGATTTTGGTTTTGGTTTTCGAGTTTTGCCAATTTAATGAGAGAGAATGTTTTTCTTACATTTCTCTAATTATGGATGAAACTGGACATTTTCACAGACCTGTTATTTCAGATATTTCGTGAGTTTTTATTCTTATTATTCATTGCCTATTTTCTGTAAGATTTTGGATTCTGCTATATTAAAAAGTTCTTTGTATGCCATAGAGAATAAATCTCTTTTAATATGCTTTCAAATACTTTATATCATTTTTTGGTTGCCTTTGCTTATGGTGTATATGTCAAACAACTAATTTTAATTTCTTTTATTGTACTAAGGCTTGAACTCAAGGCCTTGTTCACGCTGGACAAGTGTTCTCCCACACATCTACATCTCAGCTTATCATTTTAACTTTCACACTTTTAATTACATTTTAATCTATTTAGCATATGTGTCTGTGTATGTGTACTTGTGTGCACATGTAAACACACATGACACAGCA